CAAGAAAATAATTAACATCAGAAATACGAAATTAGTTCTATTAGATTCTTCATTGAATATATTTACACATCATATACAATTGTATTCATATTATTTTCTATAAAATTGGTCGAACTTCATAAAATTTAATTTAGGACAAAGCTAATATGCAGAGTAAATAAAAACAGAGAAAATATTTATTTCGTGCTTAAGAAATAGATCACTAATCATTATGTACTCCAAAATGAATATGGCAAAAGAATATTCAACTAATATGCTGAACGGAGAAAAAACTTTCGGAAGTAAACCCGCACGCCACATGTGCACTGACAGGTGTGTCTAGTATGAAAGAACGTGTGTAAAAATAAAAAGGTAAAATGTGATGTAAATGTACTTAAAACGAGGTAAAATGGAAGAAAATGTATTAAAAAGGGTAAATCCTTACTATAAATATCAAAAGATGTGGTAAAAATATCTTAAAAGCAGTAGCCATTTTAGTTCATTTTGCAGTTGATTTTACAAAGCTACCGTCTAATTTGTTGTTAGCATGTATGTGGGCGTGGTGATATATCGATGGGTGCATTTTGGTTAGGTGACGCCGGCTTAGGGAATCTTTCATTCAAAGGATTCCTGAAGAAATTTTGGAGGGTTCCAATCCTTAGGATTTTTACCTGTGTAGTTGTTTGTTTCGTAGGATTAATTTGTACTAGTTTTCATAGGATAATTTTCATCCACTCCAACCTCATGTGAAGAATCCTACGGTTTTTCTGCGCACTATCAAACGACCATACTAGTCATGTCGCATTGAAGATGTCATGCCACTCCGTTCCTATGTTTTCCTGTTCCTACATTTTACAAATCCTACGAATCAAAGAGGCACTTAGTAGTTATATGTGTATTAAGTTTCTTAAAGGCGAACTTCTTTAACGTTGATTGAATTTATAAGAAAATATCAAGTTTCTTTTCATTTTTTGTTGCGTCACACTAATCAATTTTACCATCAGATGCTTCATTAAGTGCGTGCTAAAAAAGGCCACTCGGTGTCAATACCGTCCAGTCAAATTCAGTTGACAGAGAAATCGTTGCTTCCATGGACATGCGGTTCTCATGCGATGTTTCTTTGCTCGCAAGGACACACAGTTCAGGCAACGATCACACCGTGGAGAAATGCTTCTGTAGTCATACTGATACATAACTAAAAGTACAGGTGCAATGTAATTAGTGCTAGCTCATTGGTTGTAATTGCTTAATCTTGAAAAGTTCTTTTGCAGGATGTGCTCCAGCTCATATGCTGGTACAGTGATTATTTCACCTGCTTTAACTGATATGCATATCTATCCCGTCTGGAACGAGTTGACATAAGAAAGTACACACAACAAAAACATATTACACGACACAAACTCACTAAGAGCAATCACTCTGCTAGCTGTAATGTATATATTTTCCTTTTTACTACTTATCAAATCAGTTGTCCTCACATGTCGTGATGGCATGAGTAGTCGCAGGGGTAGGCGCAGTCGATGGCCCTCACTTCAGCCCGGCCGAAGTACCAGTCACCCACCGATTTCCAGATCGCCTGTATAGGCACGCAACAACAGCACAAACCATGAAGCGAACCGATGATGATGAACTACATAATCCACTTCAAAATTCAAGTGATAGCTAGTAGGTACCTTGTTCAGAAGTTTAGGAGAGCCATACGCATTCCAAGTTGCATACTCTGACTGGCCGTGAGTGAAGCACGAGTTTATGAAGAACCCGTTGCTCCTGGAACGGGAGACGCTTAGCACGGTGCCCACCATTTGGTTCCTGAAAGCTGCACTCATAGGTACATATTGATCATTGATATATACTAGTACATGTGACATTCAGAACTCGAACTTGGATCATCGTTTGGTGCGTTGCTAAATTAATAAATCCATGGATGGATGTATACCTTGCAAGATGTTCATCTGGAATGCGTTGCAGGCAAAACGACTGGACTTGCAGGCTCGCCAGGCGCCGCCGGGGTCGGCTACGTCCGGGGCCAGGCTCTCCCGGATCTGAATTACATTTGCTCTTTATTGTCAGTAGGGGTGTGCATGTGGACGATACTGTTTAACAGATAAAAAGATAACCTAGGCTTGGATGATATCAGGTCAATACATAGCTTCCTATATATACCTGCCAGGTATCGTAGGCTGCATTCAGCAGGAAGATCGGGGTATTTATGCCGCCGATTACATTCTGCGGGAAGAAGCACTGCATGCATGTGCACATGAGATAATTGGTAGCGGTCAGTCGAGTTCTTGACGAGTTCATACTTTCTCCGTTCAAAAATACTTGTCGGAGAAATGTATATTAGAGAATTCACGATACGCACCGAGGTGGCGTCGAGATGACTGGTGCAACTCCTGGGCAGGTTCTGAGCCACCCCATGCGTGGCCACGACGCCTCCGAAGTAGGATCTCAAGGTACGCCACCCGGCGACGTTGACGCTGCATGTATATATATGCCGGGTGAAGCATGATAGACGAATAATGCACTTCAATATTTACTTTGGATGGGTATAAGTTATGCATGCAAGTGTGCGTACGCGTCGAGGAAGAATCCTGCGTCGGCGAGGCACTTGACGGTGGTGCCCCGGCCGGCGAAGAAGCCGCCGAACTGGTCGCAGTGCAGCACCACCGCCAGGGCCCCGGCGGAGCTCCCCGTCAGCAGCACGTGATCCGCGGAGGACATCCCCATGGAGAGGAGGTGCTGGATGACGGCGTTCCATATGCGCTGGCCCCGGAAAAAGAGCCCCGAGCGCGCGTCGTAGCCTTCGCCGGCGAAAGACGCGCCGTCGCAGTAGCGGATCATCACCCGGTTCCAGCTGAAGAAATCTAATAATGGACACACGCATACAAGAAGTTTGACTTAGAATAAGCTACTAGAACTTCAAATGTTTTGAAACGGAGGGAGGGAGCATGCACGAACCAGGATTCTCGGCGGGGCTGGAGCTCAAGATGCCGCCGAAGTACATCTGCCTGTTCATGAGATTCGACGAGCCGAGGCGGCTCGCCTTGCGGTACAGGCACGACCCCACGCTCTCGCACCATGAGCCTCCCTGCGTGTAGTGCAGCATGTTGGTCGGTTGATTTGGTGAAATGCATCACAATGCTCAGACAACATGCATGTATTTTTTTGGGGGGGAATACAACATGCATGTCTTTATATATGCATATGTAGAGTATGTACCTCTAGGTGGACGATCCAACGGTTCCTCCCTGCACCGAAGCCCCAATCCATGTGGTAAGCCGGCGGCGTCCCATCCATGCACACTGCACATGATTTACATATATGGTGCTGTTACATATGGATCATACTAGCTGCGGCCATAATGTACAATTTGATTTTCATTTATACATAACGTGTCAATCCAACAGATTGTCCGCCCTTGTTCGGAGAAAATTAGCCTAGCGAGAATCGATAAGGACGAAAAAAAGAAATCGACCAAGTTACGGAAACATCGTAAACTTAATAACCTATGGCGTTTATATAAATTTATATCAAAATCGTTCAGGTCACAAAAGACATGACACAAGCCGTGGTTATGAATTGTACGATCCAAGAGTCGTAAGAATCAAGGAAACTATATAGGTTGTTTGGAAGATTGCAAGACCTGATATCATTGAGCAGCATAATAAATGCCTAATTAGTGTTAAATTTGCAGGATTTAATAGAGAATATCGTACAAATTTAAATGATTTGATAGTAGTAGTATTTTTAGGGAGAATATTTTGGTAGTAAATGTGCATTTAAGAGTGAATTTGTAAGGATCCAACAAATTCAGCAGTAGTACAATTGAACATAGATATCATTACAGTTTTGCTAAAGCACATCTAGATGTGCCTTAAGTGTTGCACATCTAAATCCTATGCCATTGATTTTACGCGAAGATTCATGCAAGCATAATTTTTTGACTTTTTCCTTTTCCTTTCAAGTTTGACTGAGATATTCAGATGTGCAATAATTAGAGCATATCTAGATGTGCCCTAGACAAACCCCATTACATGTGGAGATATTAATTGCATGTTTATATATGGTAGAATATATTTTTTGCGGGAGAGATATATGTGAGTAGAATATTAATTGCACGTTCATATTTGGTAGGATATTAATTGGTAGGATATATGCTTGAGATCTGTTGTGTATATATGGTATATAGATAATTAGATATAGATAGATATCGACAGAGTGCAGAAACTGCCTGAAATTCTTGGTTTTTAATTTGGTGCAATTTTTGCAAATCAAAAGGTTGAAAGTAGATTTTCTAGCTAAGGTATATGAAAATTGAAAATCGAGAAGGTTGGTGGGACTATGGTGCTGGTTTTCACCTGATTTCCTGTTTTGTAAATAATTGGCAATTTTCGTTTCTTTTTTATGAAAGGCAGCTCTTGCCACACTTGCTTGAAAAAAGAGTCACGTCCAAATATTTGTTGCTTATATCTTTCTATTTAAGGTCACTAGACGCACACGTGTGTTCATATAAGAAGAAAACATCTAAGGCATGCGTGTTATAGCACTCACCAATCCCCGGGCCAGCAAATAGTATATGACATCTAACGGACAGTCATGACGATATATAATTTGCACCGAAGTCTAAACCCCCTCCAAACCGGTGGTGGTTAGACAATTTTGACATGATCGAAAAAATACTTAATCGTATGTACATGCACGTACCTGCTCCGATGGCGACGGCGGACGTGAGGACGGTGATAGGCACTGGTACGCCCGGCGCCCCGGCAAGCCGCCTCATACCACCACGGCTCACGTTCCGGTCGGCCGCCGCCTGCGCGCTCCCCGCGAGGACCAAAACCACAAGAAAAAGCGCCCAAAGCTTGGCCATCCCGGTCTTCTTCTCCATCTGCTTCAACTATGGAAATGGATACTCACGACTCTCTCCCTGCTGGCTCCTCGAAGTATATATATGCCAGTCGAATTAATGATTGAGCAGTTACCACAAGTATATATATTGGGATACTGGTATTCAAACACCGCATGAAGGAATATCAACTTGGTCAAGAAAAATAGGTAGGTATTAAATGCAGCGACCGCCTGCAAGCATGCATCCAATGTACTCCTTCCGTTTCTAAATATAGACGCCTTTTAGATAGAGTATAGGTTCACTCATCAGAAATCCATCTCTGCACCCGAGCTCATCTGCACCGACTCTAACGAAGAAAACAAAACAAATACTAGAAAAATTCAAAAAATTCCAATTTTTTTGTGCGGTAGACAATTTGATGCGTGAGTTACGATCCAATTTTCAAATCATTTGGACATCTGAAGAGCTCTCAGCAAAAAAGGCAAATTTGGGGTCTATAAAAATGTTTACTGTTCATGTACTGTTTTGGTCTGATTTATCTTTTTTTTCTTAGAGCTGCTCAGATGTCCAAATGACTTGAAATTTGGAGCGGGCCTCACGCGTCAAATTGTCTACCGCATAAAAAAACTTGAAAGTCTTTGAATTTGTTTTGAATTTTCTACGAATTTTTTCTAACCGGGTGCGGAGGAGCCTAGGCACCGAAACGCCATTCTCCTCACTCATTCGCTTCATATATACTCCCTCCGTCCCATAATGTAAAAACGTCTTACACTATGAGACCGTGGGAGTAGTATATAGTGAAATCTCTTAAAAGATTTATGTTGAGGGAGTACTATACCCGCGTACGTGGAGATCTAGCAGAGAATGAATGTCATGGCACACCGCCTCGGGGCCTAGCGTACATTTCTGCTTACATTTCCTTCTGTATATGTGCCAATTTTTCCAGCACAGAATTTCAAGAAGGGGAGCTCCAGGATATGTGTCTCGTACTAGAAAGCGGCGCTTCGCGACATATGTCTCGTACAAGGAAGTCCATTACCCCCGGCCCGCTTCCATATGTGCCAATTTGCCAGCACGAAATTTCAAGAGGTGGAGCTTCGACACATATGAGAAAGTCAATCACGCCGCTGGCGCTGGGATCGTGGTGCAATCCATCGCAACCTCGCTCGGTCCGTTGATATATATCCAAGCGGACCTTATCACTACACAAATATATCAATCCATGCACATTTCTATTTCGGTCACCGCTGATACAGTCACACCTGTTCAAGTCACAGAAATATAAGGACCAATCAGCGGTGCTCTCACACGTCAACTTAAATATCAGCTACTTTCCTTTTGGAAAAGGACTTAGACCTACCCAAATGATAAGTGTTACACGTGTGACACGAAACAATCTGATCTTGACGTTTTTTACAACTAAAGCTGTCATCCGAAAAGAAAAAAACAAACTCAAAAAAACTGAGCCCTCCTTTGGTTTGGAGGAATTTTGTAGGATAGGATTTCTAGATTTTTTTACTGTCATTTGGTTTATAGGAATAGAATCCTATTTATATGAAGGAATTCTTTCTATCCTCCACATTTTATATGAAAATAAATATTAGCCTAAGCTCAATGGAAAAATGTCTATGATGTGAACCAAGGACATCTCCTTTTCTATTCCATTCATAGGATTTACGATGCATGGCATGTCATTTTTTACAAGTTTCCTATTTCTATGATATTCCTACCCTATGAATCAAAGGAGGCCTGAAACTTGCCATCCAAAAAAAAAGTTGCCATGCTTGACAAATAAAATTAACATCCTCATGTCACTAAACTTGCCATAAAAAATGTTTGGAGTTGCCATGTGTTCGTGCCACACGTCTGGCACTTATGAGGGTCCTAGATCTATTATCACAGTACATTAGAAGTACAAAGCACCATAAATATAATAAAAATATATCAAGGTCTCTGGAACACGGAATGACCACTGCCGCCGCTGGAAAGAGAAATTGTCACGCCACTCTGGTACCGGAGTTGGCTTGACCTTGTCGATGATAGTTGGGAAGTCTTCGTGCACATGCGCCTAAGGACCAGCACCCCCGAGGCGCAGTCGTCCCTATTGGACCCCCGTATTGAATTGATCTGAAGAACCCAACACCAAATCTTGCTGTTGTGTACGCATAACTATCGGATTTCGGGTTCCGCAAACCCTTGAGAGGTTCGAACTCCGGGGTGTCTGCGTAGATCTCAACCTACCCAGACTGCCAACTCGCCAATCTCACAGCCTAGCGCGACGAGCTCGAGGAGAAGAAAGACACAACAATTTACCCAGGTTCGGGCCACCTTGCGGTGTAAAACCCTACTCCTGTTTTATGGTGGATTTGCCTCGAGGGGCTGAGGATGAACTAGTACAGTGGAGAACAACCTGAGGAGGTGTGTTCTTGGGCTCAAGTGAGCTAGTGAGGGTGGAATGGACGCGGTCGACCTCTCCCCTCTGTGGTGGTGGCTAGGTCCTATTTATAGTGGCCCTGGTCCTCTTCCCAAATATAGGCGGGAAGGGTTCCCACAACGACCAAATTTAAAGGGAGACAACTAGTACATCTGATCCTGACTGAAGTGGTCTTCGCCTGCAGAAAGCAGCTGGTCGTGACGCTGCGGTGGGCTCGCGCCATCCTGGCGGTATTGGTCCGTTGCACGGGAATGGAAACCTTTGGTTGATTCTTCATGACTCCGCGCTCGTTGCTTGCCTCCTTTGCACCAAAGAGGAAACTGGTACACTGCGCCCGCTGACGCCCGTCTAGCCTCGGTCGTCATGGCTCACATCACCCGAACCTCACGAGGTGGGCCTTGCATGGAAACCTCCGATCCTCGGGAGCCAGCCTGAGGAGGCGAATCCCCTGGGAGGTCTTGATGTCGTCCGCCTCGCGAGGCTTGTTGGCCCCTCGCGAGGGTCTTGAGTTGTTGATGTCGAAGCTGGGCAGTACCAGGCCGTCGATGAAGCCATGCCGTGGGCCGCAGGCAGGCAAGTCTGGGTACCCCCGTATCCAGGACACTGACAGTAGCCCCCGGGCCAGCGCTCGGACTTGGCTTCTGGGCGAAGCCAAAGGGCAAGTGCGGAGAGCCGTGGGCCCTAACCGCCTGCGGCCTTGGACGACGCGTGGCGATTGATGGGACGTGGGCGTCTCTGCTTCCCACGATGCGTTAAAATCCGCCAGGCCTGGCAACCGCCCGTCGCTAGTGCAGCCCTTCCTTTGTTGACAGTCGCGCTTGGTCTTGACCTCCTTCCTCCCCCGAGCTTGCATCCTTTCTTGTAGATCCGGTGCCAGCGCCTCCCCCTCTTTTCTTGCCTCCGCCATGGCTCCGCGGCAGAAGAAAGAGAAGAGGAAGCTCCGCACTCCGGTCGCGGTCGACGGTGGTTAATCGGGAGGGGTTGGCCAAGGTCCGCTCAGCTCTCGCCGCCGATTCCAATGAGTGGAAAGCGATGATCGCCTGGCCTGCCTCGCGGACCGCGGCCGACATGGACATCACCGAGATCCCTCTTCATCTTCACGCCCTCTTCGCAGGCCTGATTCCTCCTTTCTCCCCTTCCTTCAATGCCATACTTCCGCATTACTAGATCCACGCGCTGCACCTGGATCCCCAATCCATCATCCTACTCGCCATCTTCGCCTTCCTATGTGAGGCCATGGTCGGCATCGCTCCTTCTGTGGCCTTGTTTCACCATTTCTTCTTGCTCCGCCTAGTTGACGCCCGCCAGCGCTCATGGTGCATGGCCTTTCAAGATGTAGCGGCGACGGCTGGCTCGGGTATTGATACGTCTCCATCGTATCTATAGTTTTTTATTGTTCCATGCCAATATTCTACAACTTTCATATACTTTTGGCAACTTTTTATACTATTTTTGGGACTAACATATTGATCCAGTGCCCAGTGCCAGTTCCTTTTTATTGCATGTTTTTTGTTTCGCAGAAAACCCATATCAAACGGAGTCCAAACGGGATAAAAACGGATAGAGAATATTTTTGGAATATTTATGATTTTTGGGAAGAAGAATCAACGCGAGACGATGCTCGAGGGGCCCATGAGGCAGGGGGCGCGCCCCAGGGGGGTGGGCGTGCCCCTGACCCTCGTGGACACCCCGTAAGGCAGTTGCTGCTCTTATTTTGCCACAAGAAAGCTAATATCCGGAAAAAAATCGTGTTGAGGGTTTCAATCCAATCGGAGTTATGGATCTCCGGGAATATAAGAAACGGTGAAAGGGCAGAATCTGGGAACGCAGAAACAGAGAGAGACAGAGAGACAGATCCAATCTCAGAGGGGCTCTCGCCCCTCCCACGCCATGGAGACCATGGACCAGAGGGGAAACCCTTCTCCCATCTAGGGAGAAGGTCAAGGAAGAAGAAGAAGAAGAAGAAGGGGGGCTCTCTCCCCCTCTCTACCGGTGGCGCCGGAACACCGCCGGGGCCATCATCATCACCGCGATCTACACCAACACCTTCGTCATCTTCACCAACCTCTCCATCACCTTCCCCCATCTATATTCAGCGGTCCACTCTCTCGCAACCCGCTGTACCCTCTACTTGAAGATGACGCTTTATGCTTCATATTATTATCCAATGATGTGTTGCCATCCTATGATGTCTGAGTAGATTTTCGTTGTCCTTTCGGTAATTGGTGAATTGCTATGATTGGTTTAATTTTCTTGTGGTTATGTTGCTGCCCTTTGGTGCCCATCATATGAGCGGGCGCGTGGATCACACCATAGGGTTAGTTGTATGTTGATAGGACTATGTATTGGAGGGAAAGAGTGACAGAAGCTTCAACCTAGCATAGAAATTGATGCATACGGGATTGAAGGGGGACCAATATATCTTAATGCTATGGTTGGGTCTTACCTTAATGAATGTTAGTAGTTGCAGATGCTTGCTAATAGTTCCAATCATAAGTTCATAGAATTCCAAGTCAAGGATGACATGCTAGAAGTGGCCTCTCCCACATAAAACTTGTTATCGGTCTAGTAAAGTAGTCAATTGCTTAGGGACAATTTTGCAACTCCTACCACCACTTTTCCACACTCGCTATACTAACTTTATTGCTTCTTTATTTAAGCAGCCCTTAGTTTATATTTACGCGCTCTTTATATTCTTACAAACCTATCCAACAACACCTACAAAGTACTTCTAGTTTCAT